TGATTGGCCGCTTCCCCCTTCCTGGAAATTGTATCTTCGCATACTCAATAAAAGAAGGTAAAATGAAAATGAAAAATCATTGTGAATCGCTGATCTCTTTTGTATGTATTATGTCAAGTTTACTAACAGTAGTTTTTCTCATAATGAAGCCTACGCGCACGCTTTATATTCGACACTTGTCTTCACTCGTTCCGCTTTTGTTTACGTCTGTACCGATATATGTTTCTCTCTCTGTCCTACCAGTATCATATGGATGCATTCAAATGGGTGGATGCACACCGGGAGTTGTTTCGTGTCTCGACCTTAGCCATCTCCAGTGTCTATCCCGGGGATGCGTGTGTGGAAATGCTCCTGTCCGCGTGTCATCCGACCAGAGTATTATCTACCGTCCTATCTTTCTCGGAGAACGACTCGTGGATGTGAGTGTTAATCTGTGTTTATCAACAATGCGGTCTTGATCGATGGGCTGAATATTTCGAGGCTCAGTTCAACTGGTCCCCATCGACATCTGACTTATCACCCCACTCCCCCTCCCTATACCTCGACTAGGTAAATACTCCCCATTGATATCAGTCCTCCATCTGAAATGGAAGTTTCCCGGGAAATAAGTTATCTCAAAAGGCACAAGGCCTCCAACCCAGACGGTCTGTCCCCATCGGTTTTTAAGAATGGAGGCTCAGCCTTAGTCTCGGAGTTAACAAAGCTCCTGGGCTCAGTGTGGGAGAGAGAACAGGTTCCAGCTGGATAGTGTGAATCAATCATCATACCGATTTACAAGAAAGGTGACAGGTCCACTTGTGAAAACCACAGAGGAATTAGTTTAATCAACATCCGTCGATTGTCGGCCGCACGTGAACGGTGCGCGCGTAAGAACAGGGCTGGTTTTATATATTTACCTCTGGCTTGTAGACAAGCATGGTACCAACGCTACAACAATAATAACAATAACAATAAAAGGGGACAGGTGGATTGGGGTACAGAACAGAGTAGAAAGAGGGTGAAATAGTTAAACACGGGAAAATGAAAAATAACTGGGAAAACAATTTTTTGTGTATTTAACCATACACTTTTGGTTTTAGACCTGTTCCAGGTTATATCGACCACATCTTCACTCTTCGCTAAGTTTTCGAGCATGGACATTATTTTCGTAGACCCACAATCTCTGTCTTCCTCGAGTTTGAAGCGGCTTTCGACTTAGTCGACCGTTCTAAACTCTGGCACTGCCCCGCTCCAAAGGGTGTGCCCGAGAAGTTTATTTCAATATTACTATACCTTTATGATAATAGCCGAAGTCGAGTCCGAGTTTACAGCACTTTACCAGAGAAAGTGGTGTTCGTCGGGGTTGCCCTCTCTCTCTCTTCTTTTCTATTTAAGTTTGTCATAGATTTGATCATGGAAACAGTCATATCCTCTTGCGAGAATGGCGGCATCGACTTAGTTCCAGGTGGCAAACTGTCCAACCTGGAGTATGCAGACGACATTGTGCTGCTAAGTGAAGATCCAAGTACGTTACAAGCCTTTCTGGATAGTTTGAGTGCTGGTGTAGCGTTTTGCACCTTCAAAGTGTAAAATGTTACTAAAAGGTTGGGTTGGTCCAGCACCCAGCGTCACTCTAACTAAGGTAGTAATAGAACAAGTGGGCAAGTTTTGTTCTTTGGGCAATTATATCTCACCCAGTGGACGCATTACAGATGAAGTGTCAGCTCGCATGCAGAAGGCTCGGTTTGCATTTGCTGACTTGAGACATATGTGACGCCGTCGCGATACCCGACTGTCCGGGAAGGGTCGAGCATATGCCGCGGCAGTTCTGCTATACAGCGCATAACTGGACCAATAATAAAACGGGATAAAGACAGATTATCGATGTTTACACACCGCTGTCCATGCAGCATTGCACAAATCTAGTGGGGTAACCGGACAAACAATGTTGAGGTCAGGCGTAGAGCTTTGGGCAATCGCAGTCGTCCACTGGAGCAAGTGGTCGGCGTCCACAGATTACGTTGGTTGGGGTGTGTTACGCATATCATCGAATAGGTTGCAACAGCCGAGACAGGCTATGAGTGGAAAAAACCAAGGGTCGTCAAGCTAAGATCTGGCACGAAGGTATGAAAACCCACGGGACTGGGTCATATAGGTCCCGTTAAGCTCCCTGGATGATCATAACCGATGGATAGAGACCCTGAGTGATACGGTTTGGTGTTGTAAACAATGGCATTTCTTGCATCTTCTCAATTTCTTCGCAACAATAATCCACTGAAATTCTCAATTTTCTCTTCAGCTCTACATTCAACCTTCCTTTCTTTATCTTACTGCTTCATCCAAGTGGGCAACCAAAACGGGTGCACGAAGGTGCATGGTTAATGATTGTAGCAGCTAAGCTGAACTGAACTGTGTATCTCGGTTATCGTATGCGTATAATGTTTTGTCTAGATTTAAAAGCACAGTAGGACCACCACAGTACGTGTATGACTTTATTCTCTCAGTTTATTTTTGGCCATCTTGAGTAAAATGGTACTCTTTTCACGAACGATTTCGTCCAAGTATTTGCCGTTGCTTAATTTTTTGCATTTGGACTTCCAATTCAGTCAGGGATCGCGAACAGAGTACGTGAGGAGCCTCGTTTGTCGTGCCGCTGTACTGCTTGTTTTTCGAGTTAACATAGCTAATTAATCCATTTTTTTGGCGGAAAGTTGTTCTTGGGTGGTCTACGAAATACCATTTCATACTGTACTAGTCCCGCTGCTCCAATAGGAACGAGCTCTTGGATGACGTGGTGTGTAATCGGCTGAACGGAAGCTTTGTAGATTGGTCTAACCCTTTGCGGATTTCTTCTGCGCTTGTGTGTGTTTCGCCAAACTGATATCGCATTCACAACACTCGCTAATCCGCCGTTTCACAGTGGTTACCTTTTTTCAGTCCCTTCTTTTTCTCCATGACAATCATTTCATCGGTTTGTAGTTGTGTTTGCCGTGGACGATTTTTTTATCTCTAATTATTTTTAACTTCGAGCGTAAGAATTATCCTTACTCACACTATCCTGTTCTGTCCTACTCTCTCTCTCTCTCTCTCTTCCCGCTCCCCCCTTCCCTCCGCGACCGTGTCTTAGCCGTCTTGCTCGATGCATTAGCACTGCCTCAATCGGTCAGCTTATTGCTTTTCTGGTTCCGTTGTTAGACGGCTTTTTTCGTCTGATGGCTGTCAGTCTGTTATACCAAAATTCTACCAGGGATTCTGATACGGATGATCGTTGCGCTTTTGGTTTTTCCGCTGTCTATTTGTTGAGTCTTTTCTGTGAACGACTGACTAACTCATTGCCCGAATGGAACGACTCGAATGGCCGTAATCGTTTACTCATTGGCTACTTGATGGGTTCGAATTCTGTGGATTTGGAAAAAGGTTAGTTTTGCTCTTCTCTTCCCCATAGTTCACCCGTGAGAAGCAGTTTATAGACGTGATTATATAATTGTAATTGGCACTGGCATTAGAATTCATGTGTATGTGTTTTTGTTGTTCTTTTTGCTTTATCTGTAATGTATAATACGGTGACTTTCATCTTTTATAAAGGAAAAAAGCGTGAACTGAAAAGCCAGGAAGCACTGTAAATGTTTGAACCCTGTTTGATTTCACTCGCAATGGAAATTCATCGATGCAAATGGCGGATCAAACTCGGGACTTCATACAAGTAGACCACAAACACACTACCCACTGAACCACCTAGCGACGGATCAAACAGTTCTTCATTTGCTCTATACATGACAGAGTACACCTCATTATTTTCGGCATGTTGCACACATTACGTCTAGTTCATCGCGGCACTAGTCTTCAGGGTTATGACTCGGTTGGTGACATTCGGAACCTGATCACTTGTTACGAAGTGGCATCCACCTTCGGGGACGTTGTACCGATGATGTTGCCTAACCTGGTCGCGAAACATCTGCTAACAACAACACTTCCAGTTGGGAGAACGCACAAACGCCAACATCTGCATCCAGAGTTACAATCATTCCATATTATTTCCAATATACGTATCGTGTTTAGGACTGTAGACTGCATTAGTTGATTCTCAGTCCAGCTGGTCACTATTACCTGTATTAATTGTACTCACAAACCCAGCAATGAATCCTTTTAAGCGTTGATTGATGTCAGATAACCTTTTTCCTTATTTTGAGACATCGCTTGTGACATTTCGTCCTTCGGAGTAACAGCTTATTATTTGAAATGTTTATGCGCTGAATTACTTACTGCCTTGTTCTTCAGTACTCGCTTGTCACTTCGACGGATTGCCTTTATTTGGAATTCCCGCCGTGGAGGAACTGGTTGACGGCATTGATCCTCAACAGTTACGACCCAGCTCCGTACGTATTCTGGTCCCACTTTTGTCATTTTTCGCAATGCCTACTCTTTCTATTTTGTTAGTAGTGTGATTTATTTTTCTTGTTTTTTCAGTCGCTCCCCGGAGAATTTCTCCAAGTATTTTTGGCGCCTGGTGAGGCTTCCGATGAGCGAATTGAACGTGTCCCGGTAGTCGCTTGGTGGTTCATTTTCGAAACTTTGGTAATAAATTCTGCTTGTGTTCGT